AGGTTTTGACGAACCTGGTTTCTCTACTTTCTTGTCCATTGTAGCTGGAGCAGGTTTGCCCAATTTTGTCCACGGACCAACTGCTGGCTCATCATCTTCGGTGGACTCATCGTCAATATTGCGGTGCATACAATCGCTAATGGCGGCGTTTTGGGCTTGTTCATGTTCACTTATTGATAGGTGTCCGATTTTTAACCCCGTGTAATCTTTTGTCTCCTCCTCAAAATCTTTCCATTCTTCATCTCTGGCGGGAGTCTGAAGCTCCTTGCTTTCTTTTTCGGTTTTTGTTTGGGCCTTCTTGATCGCCTTATCCATCTCTTTCACCAGTTCATCTGCCGTCGAAAATTTCTTAACAGTCTTGGACTTCCTACGATCTTTTTTTGCAAAAAAATTATCCAATTCGTCCATTTTGATATAGATAAGCAAGGACTTTAACGAAACAGGTCAAACAAAACTTGATTGAAATTATTAAACACGGCTTTGATGTGATCATGCACTCATTACAATATTCAACGAAGGCACGTACGACATAGATATGTTTTTGCAATATATTAGATGCACAAAATATACATCTGGCAATTTTTTGACAGCCAAAGAGAAATAATATTTAGAGTCTGTTCTACTGCGCATGCGCCATCTCTATACTGTTTGGTTAATAACGTTAAATTAATAACGATAAATGTACAATATCTTATTTATCTCAAGCTGTGTTTAAAATGTTAATCAACATTCATAGTATATTACAGCATAAAATAATATATTTTACATTTAATACTTTGTGATTCGAAGTAAATTTAAAATAAGTACTTGTTGCAAAGTGTAAAATATTTTATTAACGTTTTAGCCAGAAATTATTTAATTATATATAAACTATTTGAAGTAATGAGCTGTTTCACTGGTTTTCTTAAAATTGTATATACTCCGCGCTCACCGTTTAATTCCGCCCTGTGTTTAGCGGTTTGATTAGCGTTGACGTCCGCACTTAAATAAAATATATTTTTAGAACATGAAGTTAAATTAATTTTAATTTAACAAATATTATGAATAGAATTTCCTTTGATTATATTTATTCATACACTCAAAAAGTTTTACCAAAACGAAATTATTAGGTAATTTATTTTTAAGTGTTTTGATTTCTATACTATTTTAAACAAGGGTTGCCAACATTGATTTGCGCCAAATATTAGTTTTAATTTTTTTTGTGTTTAGTTATTTGGAATGCTTAGTGTAATAATGAATAAAAATTACCTGCGTATTTGATTTTTGACGCATTTTCAATATTTGGCACTATTAAATAATTATTTTTTGTAGTATCAAAGTTTAATATTTTTTGTGGCTACGTTGGCATTATGATCCTACGTACTCATTTTGACAACACTTCACTTATTTTTTCCACAAACTTCTGCAAGTACACTTTTTGTTTTTTTCCTTTTCATTTATAATTCACTTATTTTCCACTTTTTAGTTATTCCATCTTAAGTTTATAAAACTTCATATTATTTGTGTAAATGGAGGCATCAAATGAAACAAACAATTCAAAAACTCAGGTTGCTGGGACTGAAGAGGTTAGTGCAGTTCCAGATGGTGTGTTTGAGCTATGCGTCGGTTTGACTGTACAAGTTATGGCTGAAAACCCGGAAAATATACCGGAATTCAGTGCCGAGTATTTTAAGGAAGTAAAAAGAGAAATACAAAAACAACAGGAAAAAGAGGCAAACACTGAATCTATAAACCAGATTATGCCTCAGGCTGCCTTAGTTAGAGATGAAATGATGATGCGTCGTAAGAGCGTTCGAGGCGAGCCCTTTGATTTGCGCTCTGTAGTATCAGATTTATGTGCGCCGGAGACATATCTCAAATCTCCTGAAGAGAAATCATTTCTAACACACTGCTTGAGGAAATCTGTACTATTCCGCCATGTTGACTGCAGTACGTTTAGCGAACTAATTGACACCATGAGGCTGGTCGAGTATGAAGCTGATGAGAAGATCATCAAAGAACCTGAAATAGGTAACCGTTTTTATGTAGTAGAATCTGGTGTTTTTGAATATACTTACCACGCACCAGAATCCCGAAGAAGGACTTCAATAAATTTGACACGAGGTGAGACATTCGGAGATTTATTTTTGCTTTATCCTGTCGAAAGTACGATAACCGTCTTCGCTGTTACTGATGGGTCACTTTGGACAATTGACAGGATAACATACCGAAATCGATTATTAAGAACATCGATAATTAAAAGAAAAACAAAACTTCGTCTCATCAACTATGTCGGGTGTTTTAAGAATTTAAGCCCGTCTGAACGATGCAACCTAGCAGACGCTCTAAAATTTGTGAAATTTTCTAAGGGAAACTACGTATTCAAAGAGAATGATTCATCTAGTGCCATATACTTAGTAGAACAAGGCCTCGTAACTTTAACAAAAAAAAACAGGTGGGACAAGGACGAGAAAGTGCAAAACGTTGGTATGAATGGTTTCTTTGGTGAATTAGCCCTATTAAAGGCGCATCCAAGACCGACTTCAGCTCTTGTTGAACTAGACTGCAGCTTATACTCAATCGATTGCATCGAATTCGAAAGAATATTCGGTACTATAACGGATATTCTAAAACGTGATATGAGTTCTTTCACAACAGAGCTTCAACGAATGCATGGGAAGAGTTACAAAGTATCCTTATTAAAAAACGTATTGGGCACTTCTGCCAGATTGCCCCAACTTAACAAACATCAAATTGGAAGCGAAAGTTCCTCATCCGAGCCCACATGTAGTCGGTGCACTTCATTACTTCACGAAGAAAACTCTAGTGAGGACGAGGCATGAATAATATGAATTGTATTTTTTTTTTGTTAATTCTGTATCTTCGCAATCTCATTACTTATGTTTTTTCAAAATTATTTAATAAAGTTTTTATTTTCCATATGTATTTGATTTATTTTAAATTATAATATTTCAGGAGTTCATGTACAAAATTTTTAAATTTAGGTTCACAAACTGGCAAAACTGGTCAACCATTTACAAAGTATAAAACTTCATAACAATTTATTTCTTTTATCTGGGGATCTCGAAGTGTTTTTATTTCCTTATTCGCTCGATATGATATAAAGTAATTATTTTAAATACAATCGAATAAATTTATTTATGTAAACATAGTAAATAAAATTGTTTATAAACAATGTTGCAAAATTTTGATGATTCTACTTTGCTGATATCACAAATTTACTGAAGCTAAAGATGATTTTACACATTTTCGATTTTATTCTCTAATAAATAAGGTCTAACATAATAATAGTCGAATAAAAATTTAGTAAATAAAATATATTATTTTAAAAATTGAACTTTAATACTCAACATTATCTAAAATTCCCAATATTGTTCAATAAATTTTTTATTACAAGAATTTTTAAATATTTTATGATGTATCAAAAACATTGTTAATTCAACACTTTAATTTAATTTTATTAATAGCATTTTAAACCTCCCAAAGGAGAAGTTTGGTTTCGCCAGGAAATCCGATTTGTTATTATTTGATTTGATTTGATTTGAATTGCTTTTATGTTTTCTCGACGTTTCAAGTCATTCGGAATCGAATGTGACTAAATTTAAGGAATCGTGCTGATTAGTTTTTGGTGAAGATTTTGGGGTCTTTCTTCGTAATTAAGCGTTTAAATTTTTTTTTACGATTTGATGAAATTATACATACATTTCGTTGTCTGAAATGACATACTAAAATATTATAGGCTTACGATTTATATAAATTCATTTAGGTTTGAAATTGCGCCGCCTAGCTATATGCATGCGTTCTGTGTTTTGTATGTACTATTGATTACCGTTGTTACCGAAGTAAAATTATATGAAATATGTTAATTAAATTAATTTGATTTATGCAATTACTGTTTTTATATGGATGCTTGAAAGATAACAATTTATATAAATCGAAAAGTTCATGCAATTTGCTTAAGGCGAAATGCCACTTACTCGTAGTCAACTTCCCGTTGGGGTAAGTTATAGTAATTGCAGAAAAATCGAAAATGAAAGTTTTTGCTTATCTTTACGTTTCAAACGTTTCTGAACATTTTGGCATACTTTATTGTTAGAAAAAATGGTATGTGTGTGTGTGTTTTTTTCTCTACGATTTCGGGCTCATGGATTATCCGATTTGAATGATTCAAAAAACATTCGATTCCTACTGATAGGGAGACGTGCCGATTAGTTTTTGGCGAAGACAGGTCCAGCCGTTTCGAAGATACGGGGCAAAAAGTGCCAAATTTGGTAATTCAGTTTTTGAGGTAAAGGAGCGCCCGATTTGAATGATTCAAAAAACATTTTATTTGTATTGACGAAATGAAGAATTGAATAAATTTTTGGTAAGACAGGCCTAGCGGTTTCGGGGATACAGAAGAAAATGTGAAAAAAATGATATTTGGTGGTCAAAAATGATTATTATACATATACACATCAAATTATCAGATATTTTATAGATATTTTAATAATAAGAAATTTTGACACAATTTTTTTGGGGTCCGTACCAAGATTTTCAATTTTTAAAGTTCACTTAAACAAATTTCAAAATCTTCAGAATTTTTTTTTTCAAAATTTTCAAAAATATACAAATTATTATACTTCTAATATAAATTTTAAATTTACAATTCAGTTTAAAACTGTATATATTTTACATGCGTTATTCTATTCGTAAGAAATATATCCTCACAATTCAGCATGTCTTTTTAATGTAAACATTCTCAAGTGTTTTGGGCGATAAGATCATCGCTGTATATTTTAGGAATGATAAAGTATATATTAATTATAATTATCTCTTTGAAAATATTCAAAACAATTGTTATGAATCATTGATCATTTTTTTTTTGCTGGCATATTTAATTGTGGTACGGGAAGTTTCACCAATTTGGTTTAAGGCACGATGCCACGACCAGTAGTTTATACTATGTTGCTATGAGCTTCGACTATTAGTCTAAATTAACTGATGTTTTATACTTTCAGCCCGAGAATCTGCTTTTAGCGAGCAAAGCAAAAGGCGCAGCCGTCAAATTAGCAGATTTCGGCCTGGCAATCGAAGTTCAAGGTGAACAACAAGCGTGGTTCGGTTTCGCCGGAACGCCTGGTTATCTATCACCAGAAGTGCTCAAGAAGGAACCCTATGGCAAACCTGTAGACATTTGGGCTTGCGGTAAGAAGAGATTATTTTTAATAGAATACTTTGAACATACACAGAAGTTATGAAAAAAGTTATAGAAGATGAAAGATTTTCTCTTTCTTTACTTTTTTTACCTAGCCTATGGGGTAGCCATTGGACAAATAGATACTTAGTTAATAGATGTCTTATTTAAACATTTGAAGAAAAACACTCATAATATCACAAGTATTTACCCAATAAAAAATGAAAATGTTATGAGCACATTTTTTTACAAAAATTACACCGTATATAACCTTGATCTGGTATTTTGTCACAAGTATTTACCCAATAAAAAATGAAAATGTTATGAGCACATTTTTTTACAAAAATTACACCGTATATAACCTTGATCTGGTATTTTGTCAAAAATATTTATCAGCAGAGATGGAATAACTTATATTTAATTTCTTTTGTAAAATTGTTTTTTTTTGTTACCTTATGGGGCAATTCTGTCGTAACAGAGCTCATAATATAGTGTTGTCATGGCAACGCTATGTTATGCTTGTTATTGGTAGTGAAAACTATGAAAATATCTATCTATTTGCTGTGCGATCAGGCGTATTTTACATATAAACAAAGCAAGGAAGAATGTTGTGATAACTGCATCATCGAAGATTTTGTTATCATAAGATTCTTCCTTGCTTGTTTATATGTAAAATACGCAAGATCATGCGGCAAAGAAATAAATATTTTCACAGTTTCACTACCAATATATAAGCATAAGATAGCGTTGCCATCTTATCGTCTTTGTTACGGCAGAATTGCCCCATTATAACCTCATTTTTTATTTATTTTTTTTAATATTTATTTTTATTTATTTTTTTTTACTGTTTTACTATTTAGTTGTATGAAGGTTTAGGTGGTTTTTTATGCCCCACCCACATATAAGCTTTTATAAAGGTTATATAAAAAAATTTACAAATAACAATACATCTTATAATAAATTAAATAACGTATACTTTAAAATTCAAATTCAGAGATCATAAACTAAATAACAGAGCTTAAAAGCTAAAAAAACTTCCGACTTTATGTTTGTTATGAATTTTCATACATGGCCATTTATCTCCTGATAACGACGTCGTGAAATAATATATCATTAGGCATTTTTGCTTTCTACTTCAAAATAGTATCGTTAAATAATTATCCAATAAAATATTCTTACATGTATATGGCTATAAATTGATGTATGTATGCATTTTAAGTATTTTTTACTCTATTTATATTTTTATAATATGATTTTTTTCTGTGTTTCAGGGGTTATACTCTACATTCTTCTAGTCGGTTACCCACCATTTTGGGATGAGGATCAACATCGGTTATATGCACAAATCAAAGCAGGAGCTTATGATGTAAGTATTTTTATAATTACATTTCCAAATAAAATTTGGAACCGATTCTGCCGCATAACAGAAAAATGTTATGGCAAGGCCATGTTACGAACAATTTTCTATACTAAATATTGAAAAAGCCATCTTGTTGGTATGCAGTCAGGCATATTTCTTAGGTTGTCAGATAGAAAACATAACCTAGAAACCGCACAAATGCCAAAAAAACGATGTTAGATAACAGGGCGTTTCTGACTCGGCTTTATAACATACGAGTAACGTTGCAGTTTATGCATAAAACGACTGAACAAACAGCAAATATGTGTCATTTTGACAGTATTCAGTATGATTCAGTAGCATAATGTATGGAAGTTGGATCGTAACATGATCTTGCCATAACATTTTGCTGTTATGTGGCAGAATCGGTCCCTAAATAAATAATAAATATTCTAATGGTTCAAAGTTTTAAAAACCAACGACCAATTTTATTTTATCTTTTCATTGGTCGATTCGAAAATCAAATAGAAATGTATGTTACGTCAAGAGAAATGTGATATCGGAAGGCTACGTATTTGCTGTTCGATCAGGCGTTTTACACATAAAACCTTACCTCCAAAAGACAGATAACAAGCTTATCATAAGTTCAACTTTCTGATGTTACTTTGATACCATTACATGAAGTCGAGCTAAATATTTGAAGTTAATATTTTGACGTTTGTGCCTTTTGGAGGTTGAATTTTTTTAATTATCTGCTGGGGTTGCTAAAAATTGGCGCTCGCCACCTCTTTGTCAATAGTTTACATAACACCCTAAAGGGGCAGACACTACATATTTGGCATCATACTGATATATGTCCTAATGTATATGTATATATATATATATATATATATATATATATATATATCAACAGGTTTATATCAGAAAATATGCTAATAGTTCGTGAGCGCTATAATATTAAACTGCACCACATTCTGAAACTAAAAAAAAAATTAGTTGATGCAAATCGGTGAATAAAAAATAACAAGTGAGATCGGTGACAATTTTTTAATCCCAATTGGATCACAAAACATAATATTTTCCGAACAACTCGGTATAATAATATAGTTTAACTTCAAAAGCGCCCATATCGCAGATGGCGAATATATAAAGAAAACACCATACTGATATCCAATCGAATGCTTTTTTTCCATCGAATTCTTCTAAATATCAAAAACCTTGTTATTATAATACAATTTCAATTTCTACATATTGATTTAATAAATCCATTTGAAAGACAATAAAATTCGTTCTAAAAATACCTAAGAAACACAATGGCTTATAATACGCCATACCATTCTGTCAGGAGCATGGCATAGATTCGCATCCAACCAACCACTTTGACTGTGGCAAGTGATATAAATAGCTGAAATATGATACGGGTAATCAAATACAAAAATACATAGATATACTTTTCAAAAACACATGGATATACATTTCAGTAATCAATTACAAGAAATGGACGTCGATTGTTTGTCGAGTTCTAAAATTAATCCTGTACAGGGCGAGTAAATGTCTGCAGTGGATGTGTAGAGTGTTTTTGCCACACAGTGTGTGTGTATGACGGGGAATGTTTTGCAAACAGAAAACAATAGCTTTCATAGGATTAGAATCGAAGTGATTGATGCAGATTATAGAGCTGGTAAGGTATTTTGAAGAATGTCCACCGGCATCCAAAAATTAGTAAACTATTTAAAATGGATATTAAAAGGAGTGCCATAAGCTTCAAGGACAAAGTCGACCAACATGAAAATAAATTTATAGCAAATCTGTATAATGCTACGTATAATCTAAGACAGAAGAGAATCAATTTAATTGAATTAACATAATAGTCGATAACACAATATATTATTTATGGGCTAATTCTGCCGTAACAGAGCTCATAAAATAGTGTTGTCATGGCAATGCTATCTTATGGTTATTTTTGGTAGTGAAAATTATGAAAATGTTTATCTATTTGCTGTGCGATCAGGCATATTTTACATATAAACAAAGCACGGGAGAATGTTATGATAACTGCATCATCGAAGATTGTTATCATAAGATTCTTCTTTGCTTGTTTATACATTTTCATAATTTTCACTACCAAGAACAAGCATAAGATAGCGTTGCAATGAAACGCTATTTTATAAGCTCTGTTACGGCAGAATCGTCCCAGCAGTTGATTAAAAGAAATTGTTTACTTTGGACTGTTATTACCAACTGAATGATCAATTCTGATGTCTACCTTAAGGGGCATAACTAGTGTAACCGCCTAAAATTGGTGATTTAGGTGATTAATATATTTATACATGTTTTAAAAATACATAGTAAATATTTTTTAAGTTATCGTCGATCTCCAACGGCGCGACATAAAAAAGGCCCTTCACTGCTGCAGTGATTCCGGCCTTCTACGTGGATGAAATTAAAAAAAAACTCGTTAAACTAGATAATATTGTCTGTAAAATGAACTACGATAAAGAAAAAAAAACAAAAATTGACAAAATGACGGCGTTTTTTTTTTTTAAAAAAAAAGTCGAATTTTACCCAAAATTTTGGTCGTTTTTGGACTGCCAAAATTCTATTTTTGATCCGATCAAAAAATCGATAGTTTATTTTACGGAGAACTATATATAGAACATGTAAAAAAATTTTGATAGTGATCGGATCATTTGTTTTTGAGTAATTGCTGCAGCAAATTCGGAAAATGCTGTTTCGAGAAAAACACGTTTAAAGATTAAATGATCGTTATACTATATACTATATATATACTCTTTAAATGGCTGTAACTCAAAAACTATTTAAGATATCGATTTAAAATTTTGGTATGTTATTTTTAAAAGTATAACCTATCGAAATATGGAAAAATTGACAATTCGATTTTTTGAAAATTTCACACTAATTGTGCCCCTTAAACAAGTAACAAAATTAAACAATGCAGTTGAAGAAAAGCAACTTGAATTGACAAATCGAAACGGTGATTTATTCTACTATTGACATCATATATTTTTGACCGCAAATTTCGGCAAAAATTATTGGATCCTGTTTGGGATGTTAGTGGCAACAGATTTTAAACTCTCATACAATTTTAACCAGCTTCGCAGCATTGAAAAAGATATGTGTAGGGAAAGTTGCTTTGAAATTTAAATCGAATAGCTCCGAAGGACAGAAACTTTGACTGGTGAAGATCTAACGGGTGGTTCATCTAGTGTCCTAGTGATCTTACGGTTTAGATATTTCTGTAAAGAAAATGTATAAAGTATTATACATCGTTAGAAAGGTCTCAGAATTCTTAGTTTTTTCTCCATATATCGCAACTTCGAATTCTGCACGGTGTGGCCTACAGACAAGTTGCTATCGATAAATTCAAATTTTTAAATGGGCCACCCTATATTACTAACCATGGCGTTTTCTGATTTGAAAAATTATTAAAGTATCGTAATATAATTAATATTGCGAGAACACATCTTCAAAGGGAACATTGGTTTTGCTGGTGTGTTATTATTAAAATATATCACGTATTTATGATTTATTTTTGTAATTTCAGTATCCATCGCCTGAATGGGATACCGTCACGCCGGAGGCGAAGAATCTAATCAACCAGATGTTGACCGTCAACCCTGGAAAACGCATCACTGCCGCCGAAGCGCTCAAACACCCATGGATTTGCGTATGTTACTTACTTATTATATATATTATTATATAATTTATAATTTAAATTATATATTTAATTAATTAATTAATATTTTGATTATTTTCAAATTAAAGTACGTAAAATGAAGATCATAGTTCTTTCATTACTTTATCAGTTTCCTCACTATTAAAATTTGTTTTGCTATTTTTTTTTATTCTTAGTTCTCAATATTCAATTACAATCTGATTTTTAAAATTAAAAAAAAAATTAAGTAATTATGAATGACAATATGTAACGTTATGACCAAAATAGAGTTTACCCATTGGTATCCCTTTTTGTTATCGCTAAAAATATTACCAATACCTGAATGGTTAAAATTAGTTTCTGATTTAAATAATACGATTTAAAAAAATTTAATTAGTGATCAATATTATAACTTGTACAATTTGTAGTTTTTTCACTATTAAAATTTCAACACTCGAAATTATTATCAACACTTGAATGGTTAAAATTAGTATAATAAATTTATTATTGCGATTCCAAGAAAATTTATTTAATGGTCAATATTTTAACTTGGTATATTTTAAATTCGTTTTGATTTTTGTTTCCTTCATCAGTCACATTACGATGTGCAATAGTATTCAAAAAATTGAGAAAAAAGAAAAATTTAACTCATTTTATTTAAGTTTATGTATCTTTCATTATTTGATCGTTAATAGTTGAAATTAGTTTCTAAGTTTATTAATACTATTCAAAGAAAATTTATTTAATGATCAATATTTTAACTTGGACCATTCATTTTTTTTTCACCAGTCACATCACGATTTGCAATAATAATCCAAAAATTTAAAAAAAAAGTAAAACATTATTTACCTTATTTTATTTAAATCCATGTTTCTTTCATTATTTGATCAGTTTTGTCACTATTAAGATTTAGTTTGCTTAAAATAATTACCAATATCAGAATGGTAAAAATTAGTTTCTGGGGTTAATAATACGATTAAAAAAAATTATTTAATGATCAATTTTATAACTTGGACAATTCACATTTTTATTTTTTCTTTCACCAGTCACATCTATTTGTGCAATATTTTCCAAAAATAAAAATAATGTAAGAAATTATTTAACTCATTTTATTTAAGTTCATGTATCTTTCATTATATGATCAGTTTAGTCACTATTAAGATTTGTTTTGCTAAAAATTATTACCAATGCCTGGTCATTTATTCTTATTCAAAGAAAATTTATTTAGGGATCAATATTATTATAACTTAGACAATTCATTTTTTTTACAAGTCACATAACTTTGTGCAATAGTATCTCAAAACTTGAAAATTTTTGAAAATTGTTTAATTAATTTCATTTAAGTTCATGTTTCTTTCATTATTTGATTCGCTTTTCTAAAATTTATTACCGATAAATGAGGGGTTAAAAATAGTTTCTAGATTTTGTTTACAAAATTTATTAGGTTGTCAATATTATAACTTGGACAATTCACATTTATATTTTTTCCTTCACGATATGTAACAGTACTCCAGAAATTTAAAAAAAAACTGGAAAAGGGCATATGAAAAACCATACAAATTTTGTTGAATTTCATATGCCATAATTAATACGATCCAAATAATTGCATTTACACGATTCCAGTAAAAAATCCGACCTAATCATGAACAGAATTAATAATGTCTTGAGAAACCAGAATTCGACAAAATTAATTAATTACTAAGCTTTTTCAATAAAGCTCATATTTATATAAGGCAAATACAAAATCAGCTTTTTCTATGTGTACTTGTGAACAGATATTTTGTCAAATTTCAAACGAACGTTACATGTTCACTAAAAAATTTATAATATATTTACCTTATTCTATCAGCTACTATACTATCAAGGGATTTTAGTGAAATTTTAGTAGTCATTCATAAATTCACTTTCTTCTATTTTTATTTCAATTATTTATGGTCTTACAATTCTTCAGTTGAATATTAGTTTTTCATTATCTATTATTATTTGACACGGTGATAAAAATTAATATATAGGGATAATTCATTATTATTGATTTTTTTAAGCTCATTTGATTATAGTTTGTTGGACTTATACGTCGACAGACGATAAGTCTACTTTCTAACTTCTTTCTCCTGATTTCTAAAATATATTTTCATCTACGCAAAAACTGCGTCTGATGTTTTCGTTTTTGTGTGCAAATTAAATTAAAAATAGTTATTTGCTAACTACGCTTTGTGTACTTAGCATGGTTGTGCAAAAAACTGCACTAGCCTAGACGCACTTCAGAAATGCATGAAAAAGTTTTTAATTAAAACCAACGACTAAAGTGCAGACAATAGTTTCTGTGCGTTTGTTAGATTTTTTATATCTTTTTAGTAGAAAGTTTTTTCGACAAATATTTGATAACACATAAAATGAATTAATTATTAGCTGGGGTTTCCAGAAAGTTGATATGTAGACATATGAATAATCCTGGAAAAACAGATCTATAAAGACAACTTGATTTTTTAAAGAACAATTTATTTATTTATTTATTTATTTATTTATTTATTCATAAGCAAGCCGTAATCAATAATAATAGATATTATTTCAGGCTCTTGTCAATTATAACGAATAAATTTTTATCCGTCATCATTTTTTATCACTTAAAAAAATACCTAAGCTGCATATAGTATAAACTATACTACGCAATGTTCAATTTTTGAGTAAATAATGTATACATTTAAATATTTTGGGACCGATTCTGCCGCATAATAGACAAATGTTATGGCACGGCTATGTTATGAAGAACTTTCCTTACGAATTCGTTCTAAATATTGACTAAAGCCATGGGGTCGCTATGCAGTCAGCCGTATTTCTCAGGCTGTCAGATAGAAAACCTAACTTCGAAACCGCATAAAAGTAAAAAAAAAACAATGTTAGATAACAGGGTCTTTCTGACTCGGCTTCTTAACATACGAGTAACGTTGCAGTTTATGTGTGAAACTTAACTAATAAATTATTTTCGAACAAACAGTTCTTTAAGCAGATTTTTTTTTTCAAAAAAAGACTAAACTTTCGTGAAAGAGCTCTGACACTACTAAAACCGATGTCGTACACATGTATGATATAAATTCGCCTGTTTATATAGACATAGGGTATTCGCGATTAAAATGAAAATGTTATGGTAAGGCTATGTTACGGGTCTACCTTTGTATGAATTGGTAGTCACGAATTGTCAAAAAGCTATGTATTTGCTGTGCGGTCAGACGTTTTAAACATAAAGCCTAACCTACAAAACGCATAAACATCAAACAAAAATTTCATCATAAGTGCAACTTTCTGATGTCTTTTTGATAATAAATACCAGAAGTTCGGTTTTATGTGTAAAATGCCAGATTTCAAAGCAAATACCTAACTTTTCTACAGTTTGTTACTACCAACTCATAAGAATATAGACCCGTAACATGGCTTTGCCATAAAATTTCTATTTTATCCGAGAATTTGCTCCTTATATAAGATAGAGTAGTCGATAACAAATTTTATATTAGAAGTTTTTATATCTACGTGTAGTTACTAGAGTCAATCATAGATGGCGCGGAAGGAACTAATGAGCTGTTAACGTTATAGGCGGGCGGTCGAAATTTTAGCTCGAAACTGTATACTCGAGATTCACTGTATTTACAAATATAATATACCTTGTATATTTTATATATACAAGGTATATTATAACTAATAAGCTGTTGAACGGAAACCGCGCTATAGGAGTACAGCGTTATAGGAGGGCAGTTGCAATTTTAGGTTAAAACCGATTTAACAGGGTTATAGGGGGTATTGACTGTTTTTTACAAATATATCTCGTATATTTTATATATTTTATGTGATACAAGTGTGTTAAAATAATCAAAGGTTGAACATTGCGTAGCACATTTAAACATATTTTTCTTTATTCACGGTTCATTCCCTTTTCTCATTATTTTTTCAAACGACTGCTCATAAAAATATTGATCCCAAAACAAATATTAATTTTAATAAACAATATTAAATTTAAGTATCGTTTCATCCCTGACTGCTAAATGAATTACCGTCGACCTTAATTCAGGCGAAGCTTCATATTTAAATGGAATCGTTACGGCGGCTCAGTTACTTTGTATTTTGTATTTCGTGCTCTCAGGCTTCGTTTTGTATTTACACATTTGCGAAAATAAACACCCAATCTATAATAAATTATTAATGTGCTTTTGTCGGGATCTGGCTCAAAAGAAAATTATAATATTGTTGAATCCATAGGAAGATAATTGTATTTGCAAGGTATCTAAAGACCCGTTTGTTTATGTATGTAGGTTTATAGAATATAATTGTTTTTATTTTGTAATTTGTAATTTTTTTATGTTATAGTTAAATATTTATCGTTACGCTTTTGTATATGTTAAGCTGAAATTTAAGACTTGTTAAAATCTAGTATTCAAAGCATTTTTATATAGAATTGAAATATTAAGTTTTTATAAATTATTGTTGTAACTTTGTAGTATTCTGGTTTCAAAAAAAAAATACAGTCATCATGATTCCGTGAAAAACTAATTTTATTCTCAATTTTTAACGCTTGTTTAATTTTTATGTAGGAGAGCTATGGGTTCGTTGTAACAGTTTGTTTTTTCAAATTAATGTATCTTCAAATTCACTTATTATATTTCTATGAAATAAAGCTAGATAGATGCTTCAACTATTCTCCTATCAAATCAATTAAAAATAATTCCATAACTATTGTTCATTTATTCACAATTAATAATTTTCTAGAAAAATAGTAATTAGGACTTGTCTTAATGTTTTGTTTCAAATAACCCCAGGTATGTTTTTTTTAATTTTTCATTTAACCAATTTAGCAATCACAAAAATTGTTACATATAATCAAAGATTGAAATTAATATATATCTTGATTAGGATTATATTTGTATAAAATAAAGCTAGATAGAAGCTTTAACTATTCCTCTACCAAATCAAGCAAAACTAATTTCAAAAGTATTGTTCATTATTTCACAATTAATAATTTTCTATAAAAATAGTAGTTACAACTAGCTCTGAGGTTTTGTTTCAACTAACCCCAACAGCAAGCGCAAAAATTGTTACACATATTCAAAGATTGAAATTAATATATCTTGATTAGGATTATATTTGTATGAAAAAAGCTAGATAGAAGCTTTAACTATTCCTCTAACAAATCGAGTAAAAATAATTCCAAAACTATTGTTCATTATTTCACAATTAATCATTTTCTAGAAAAATAGTAGTTACAACTAGCCCTAAGGTTTTGTTTCAACTAACCCCAGGTATTTTTTTTAATTTTTAATTTATACACATACACACATTAAATATTGAAATTAATATATCTTGTATTTTATTAGCTATAATAAATTTACAGTCACAATTTCTTTTATTATAGAATATCAACATTTGAAATAGTCGAAAGCTTACAGAATCCATCCACAAAAGTGTTTATTTATAAAATAATCATTTTATTTAAAAAAAATATTTTTGTATAATTCTATTTAGAATATAAATTTATTTTTTTACTATTTTTATTTTTTGTTATTCAACTTTATTTGATACGATTGATGAGCTTTTCTTGATATCAGGTTAAAAAAACAATTATTTATTGAACATTTTTCATGTTTAGAATTGGGATAGACATATCAATTTTAATCAAATTATTTCGTTATTTTATACCAATCTGTTCCTCTTGTTTATAATAGAATATGGATATAAAATGACTGTAAATAATAAATTTGCAGTCATAGTTTATTTTAAAACAAAATACCAACAGCCGAATTCGTTGGAAGCTATTTGTGTCCATCCATAAATAAATACGTTTAGTGTTAAATTTTAGGTACTAATTTTATTATTTTTTATCATAAAAAATTAGTTGGATCGACGAATAATAAAAATAAAATATAGTATAATAAAACTCTACTTTGTCATTAATTCTGCTACATAATAAACGTTGAAAATACCATTCAAATGTTGTCAAATAAAATAAAACCAGTATACATGTGCAATACAATTATATTTTGTGACTATTGACTATCATGGTTTATATTGTGTGAATACTATTTATTTTATAAATATGTCATTTAACATTTTTTTCTTTTTTCCAGCAAAGAGAAAGAGTTGCATCAGTCGTCCACAGACAGGAGACGGTGGATTGCTTGAAGAAATTCAACGCAAGGCGCAAATTAAAGGTTTGTATATAAAAAAAATTCTAGTAAATTACAAATTTTCAACTTTCACTATCCAATATATCTATTCCAGGGTGCTATCCTCACAACGATGTTGGCTACTAGAAATTTCTCAAGTGAGTACAACCTATTTCTTTATCTACTTAGCCCTAGTTAGTGATACAAATAGAAAATAGTATTATGTGATAAAACAGATAGTTTGAAAGAAAATAGATTTAATTCACATGCTGATTTTGATTGTAGATATAGTACCTATATTTAACCACCTATAACATTGGCAAATAATTTGTAGTTTTGCAAGCGTAGACATTGATAGCACTTCAAACAAAAGTAGATAGAGCAATTAGTAGGTACGCTTTTTGCAAAAAGTACTTTGGTACTTTTGTAATGCACCGAAACAGTGATGGTCATTGGTCAATAGTAAAATAAAATTAATTTAACTACATATATTAATAAATAAAACAAAGCAAAAAAGTGTTCCAATCTAAAAACAAAAGTATTTTTGAATCAAATATTTTATCAGGAGTATTGTTTTTTTATGATAGGCCATAAACATTATGGAGCCAATACTCCGATAAAATAGAAATGTTACAGCGACGCTATGTTACGGTCCTATTTTCATATAAAATGGTAGTAACAATTGTCAAAATGCTATGTATTTGCTGTGCCATAAGGCGTTTTATGCATAAAACCTAACTTCACGTATGTGTTACCAAGGGTACATTAGAAAGATGCACTTTTGTGCGTTTCTTAGGTTCGATTTTATATGTAAAACACCTGATTGCACAGCAAACACACAGCATTTTGTCAGTTTTTCCATCTGCTACTATCTATATGAAAATTGGACCAAAACATAGCGTTGCCTTAACAACTACTACTACTACGTGGACTGCTAGCCTAGACAAGACTACATGAACTGCTAGTCCCCATATGTTTTCCGTTGTATATAGTGCTCAAACATAAAAAGGTATGTGACGTCACATGTCTGAGCGAGCTTTGCCGACGACAATCGCGGACCTCCCCCAATTGATCAAATGTCATATGTCATATGTTACGTGTTTAACATAGGCTTTATAATATTAAACCGGTTTTTAACAGATGGATTTGATTTTATGTACATTTATTTCACAGGGGAAATATTATTAATATTATTCTTACAAAATATCAGCTATTACAATTTCCATCATATTATTGAAATAAAACTATCACGTTACTACAGAATGTCATTAACTATTATGGTAAATATTATTAAGTATTATTAATTTCATTTCTTACAAAATTGTCAACCATAACAATTGTCATTATATTATTAAAATAAAACATATATTTAATTTTAGACATTTAATCAATCGGAAGAGTCTGCGATGGCCGTCGGCAATGCTCGCTCAGATATGTGACGTCACATACCCTTATATGTTTTAAACACTTACTTTGAGAGCTCGACTAGCAGTCCATGTAATATAAGGTCTATGACTGCTAGTCCTCATGTTTTCCATTTTATTAAGTGTCAAAAGATATAAGGAGACTGTGACAATTAGTGAAGGAGCATTGCCGACAATCGTGGAACATTCCCGATTGATTAAACGTCATATATTTCAAATAGTAGAGTAATTCAAGTATTATTTGTGATAGTTTTATTTCAATAATATAATGGCAATGTGCGGACTGATAATTTTGTAAAAAAATTGATATTAATAATATTGCCCTGGTAAAATTAATGTACAAAAAATCGAATCCATCTGTTAAAATCGGTTTATATAAGGTCAATGCCTGTGACATTTAGTTATTCGGGAGTATTTCACGATTGTCGGCAACGCTCGTTAACTATGTGACGTCACAGTCCCTTCAATCTTTTGACACTTGTTTTTCACTCGACTAGCAGTCCATATAGTATTATGTCAATGAATTGGCTCCGATTTTTTCGATAATTGGACTGTTACCACGTGTTCAACAAAAACAAATCTATTCGAAAAAATAAATATGACTAAAATGCTTTTTTCACTCATAAGTTCTGCTATATCAAATTTCAAATTTTAAAATTATTATATAAACTTAAACCTTTTCTTGTAAAACTAGAGCATTCTGATAAATAATATTATATTTTTCCAACATATGTTTTTAATGTATTTTTAAATATTTTTTCTTTTTCAAAGTACTAATTTATTTTTGGTGCAATATTGTGTGTCACCGCGTTTCTTAATTTTGAAAAACAGGTATGGGATTCAAAAATTTATTTTTATGCATTTTTTTCTATTATGACATGACCAACTCTGTCCAGGGAAACCTTCTACAATGAATCAATATCACCGTGCTTCTTACTAATATTATTTTCTGAATAACACATATCGCAATTAATTATTAGTAATCAAAGCTGCATTTGAAAAACAATAAAGGATTAAAATAAATATACATAGCCCTCTTCGGTTCAATAGTTTTTTTATTTTTACACAACTAATCGGATTATTTTATCATTTATAGTTTATTGTGAGTAGAATCTAATCCAGAATGTCTGAGGTGTTTCGTACTTCTGTAGATCATAAGTGAAATGTATAGTACTTCATAAAAATATGATTTGTGCAGCTTATAGAATCCGAATAAATTGATATTGTTATTTGATCATTCGTCTCTCTTGAATCTTTCTAATAGGATTATGCGAAAATATGAACAAAGCTGGAGAATCTATTTTTTATGTTACTGGTATATGGTTGTATTCGGATTGAAGCAAAAATGTATAAATTGTAGAATTATGAATCACGGGAAACTTATAGTGGATTATATATAAAAGTTAGGTACCTATGTTTCATAACTACAGTTTAGGAATGAGGTATAAAAAACATTACGCTGATCTAATTTGCAAAAAATTAATCAATTCTTTATTTCGTCAATGCAAGTAAAACACTTCTAAACAATTCAAATTGGACGCTCCGTTACCTCAAAAATAATTAATCATTTTGGCGCTTTTTGCCTCGTATCTTCGAAAATGCTCGACCTGTCTTCGCCAAAAACTAATCAGCACATGTACCCATCAGTAGGAATCCATTTTTTTGAAGATATGCCAAGAAAATACATATTTTTTTGGCGATTACTATAATTTACCCTACTGGAAGTTGAAAATATATGCAGTCAACG